GTGTCAAAGCAGTTTGGAGAGAAAAACAAAGTATAGAACAAAAAAAAAGAAAATGATTAATCGATTATTAAATTAGTCATTAATTATTTTAATAAATCGATTAGTCGTCGATTAATCGTGCCAGCCCAACCTGACATGCACTGAGAGCATTGCAATATACAAACCTACATATTCAGCCATAGTGAAGTGATTTTAATCGCGATTAAAATTTTTAGTCTATGCCCATGCAGCACTAAAATTAATCACTGAGTTAACTCGGTTAATTTCACAGCCCTAAATTTTATTTTGAAGTACGCATACAGAATCAAACACTGTGACATGTCAGAGAGTAAACGCTAATATTTACAAATTTTAGTTACAGTTAAGCTAACTTCCAATGACTTTAACCATTAGCTAGTTTTTATTTTTTGAAACATTTAACCTCGTGTTAGACAGACTTTCTGAATTTGACCTATTTTAGATGTTGAAACAAGGGAAACACCTGCCAGGTCAAAAAAAAATTAAAAAATTTTAAATTAAAAGTAGTTTTCAGTAAGCCCAAGCAACAATTAAACACCGGTTTGCTCAGATCACAGATGTTAATCATTGATGTGGAAGCTTCAAATATGCTTATTTTTGTGCACTTGTTTAATTGGAGCTGATTGTCTTTGCTGCTTTTTACTCAGGGTATCTGCAGGTTTTAGCAAGTCAAATTTAAGATTTTTAAGGACCCACGGATACCCTGTTTACTGTCATTATTAGCAGAAGGCTGCTAATTTAAACAGAATTGGTCGTTCTTCCTGCCGTAGTTGTCTAATAAGGGAGAAAATATTACTGGCAGTAGTTTTTGTTTTGAACAATGAGGCTTAAGTTATGCATCACATTTTTTAACTTTAAAGGGGCAATATTATGTGTTTGTCAGGCATACATTTAAATACTATACCATAATAAAGTATCGATGTCACCTTTAGTTGTTATTAAAATGCTGTTTTTATGTTTAAATAGAAAATAAACTTCTCGCTTCCTCTTCTAAACGCCTTGACATTGGCCTCTGTCTCAAGAAACTCCTCCTGCTTCTGTYAAGTCCCGTTTTGGGGGGTGGGGGGGAGAGGGGTTGCGCGTGCGCTATGTTGCAGTTTACTTGGCATCTGAAAATACATTTCCTCAAAGGTATTTTGAATCTGAAAAGAGCTTCACTGAGTGAGCAGGAGTGTTGAGAGCAGCAGACAGTTAAGTTTCACTTTCAGTTTTGATTTGTTACTGCCAGAGCCTGCAGGAGTCATGGGCGGTGTGTGGGGTGGGGGGTGGGGAGGTGTGCTCCGTGATGAGGAGAGAAGGGAGAAGGGGTTATCTGCGGAATCAAAGTGGGCGTGTCACAAGAGTGGGCGTGTCTAAACCATAAACACTGTGGGCTACGAGGCCTACATGACGGTTTCCTTAGACCCTGCTTGACCTGTATACAGCCTGACCCTGACCCCAACACTAAGGYTAACCAGGAGAAATGTGACCCAAGTAGGGTTCTCCAGAAAAAGTGGTGCCGTACAGTAACGCCCCTTTTGTTCTTGTCCAATCAGGTGTGTCCCTTTAAAAAATTCTGTCAAATCAGGTGTGTCGCTTTAGAATTGCCTTTCGTTGTGACACGCCCACTCGTCAGCAGAGACCCCTACTTGGATGAAGAAGCTCGGCTTAAAGACACGTCCCAGGGGCGTTTCTGGTACCAAAAGGCGTTTCTGGTCCCCACCTGTCGTTTTGCTCCTCAGCATGGCTGCCTAAAAACGCTGCAGGATTTCTAAAACATACATGAATGAGTCAGGGCAAGGCTTTGGGCATGTTTTTTTTATGACAGTATAACATTATAACGTAATATAAAACTCAAAAAAGTTGATTTTACATGATATTGCCCCTTTAATAAAAATGCATATTTAGCATAACTTGATATTACTAAAACTGAACTAAATGTAGCGCACACAGATGGAGGACGTTTATTTTCCCGTTGGATCACAGTGAATTATGTTGCAGCTTGTTAATAATTAGGAACAGACTTTATGAAAACGCTGTCTCGTGGTTTTGGATGTTAAAAGTTCTGTTTTGTGGTTGAATTTGATTTGGTGTGCTTTGCTGAAGCAAGATGGTTATTCATGATAAACGTTGAGCTCTTAATTGTAACAAAATAAACAATAAACAGTCAAAAAAAACAGAGATACACAATGAACAGCACTTTATGCACAATTGTGAAATCTGATTTAGTGCTGCGTGACAACAGTTTTCAACAGAAGCAGCAAATAACTCTTGAGTGGAAAATTATACTTGATGACATTTAGAAGAAGTCTGCAAACAGCTGGGCGCTGGGGTGTGTGCCGGCCTGGCCTAGTGACTGCCTGTTGGGGCTCGGGGCCTCTGGGCCTGTCGGGCTTTGGCCTGGAGGGGGTGCGCCCTGGGGCCCGGACCTCTGTGCCCTTTACTGGATCTGCTCTGGTATGGCGGGTGCCAGTGGGGCCCATGAGTTTGTCACTGCTGGCCCTGGGGGCTGTGCATGTGGTCGCTGGGGGGACTCTCCCAGTTCTCCCCTATGGTCTGATCTGGGGGGTGGGTGGGCAGATCTTCCCGTGTGGGTGCCCCTTGGGGCTCTGCGCTCGGGATTCCTCTCGGGCCCTTGGACTCTGGTCTTCCCTATGTCTGCCTCATGTCTTGTGGGTTGGGTCTCCGGTCCTCCACAGTCACTATTAAATATTCCATTGGAGAAATCTTGTATACACACGCATGTTCACAACTGCTCACAAACAGGTGTTCTGATCCAGGGGGTTCTGACAGGTCACTGAGAGTGTATATACAGTATGACTATGTGTATATACGGACAATATTTATGAATGTAGGCATGTATGTATGTATATCTTTATATATGTATGGGTATGTGTATATATTTATATATGTCCTCTATGTACAGTGGTTTGCAAAAGTATTCATACCCCTTGAACTTTTCCATATTTTGTCACATTACAACCACAAACATAAATATATT